TAACTTTTAGCTTCAGATTTCTTACGGGAAGTTATACATGCAAATTTGTATTTGTATTGTCCCACATGGATTTTAAAGTTTAGAGCTCAAAACCAGCCAACTATGCCTAATAATTCCTCACGTCTTTTCCTTCTCTTGTAATATTCAGTATGAAATGGTATATATTCAAAATCAAGCATCTAGATGATACTAACTCATAACAGCATGAGATAATTGTGATGGTACTACTAGTTGAAATTGAGATTATGTTTAAAATGAAATCATTAAAGCCTTAAAAAGAAAACAAAACCCTCTCTGCACTTGTAATCTAAAGTAAAAACAGCATTATTCAAGGGCACGTCATTGTCATGATTTAACTGTTTTTGAAACGCCACTTCACTGAGTAGAGTCTGAGTGTTAGTGTTGACATGTACCACTACACTTCTGAAAACAAAGCTTCTTCTAGATATACAGCTATGGATAAAAACTAATTAATTGCCCTTCCTACCACCATGACTTTAATTAAATAATGTTTTGAAAGGCCAGACAGAAAAAATTCAACACATCACTAGGTCTTCAGTATTTTGTTTGTAAATCGCAGGTTTTAAAGTATTAATTTGCTATAAAAAAGGCTATAGTACAGTCTTTTTAGACTGGATCTCTAGACAGATATCCTTCTGTCTGTCTAGACTTACAAGCTATGTCTAATGGTCTTTCACTTGAGAGCTTTAATTGTAGACGACCTGTACTCCTAACTGCTATTTAAAATAGGATCACTGGTGGAAGAAACTTTCAGAGCCCTAAAGCCTTCTCTAAGTCAGTAACCAAAACTTCCAAAGGCCTCAAAACTGCTTTGAATTTGCTATGTGGAGATCAACTTGTTGTACAAAGTAATATCCTGGTTATTACAGACATACTGGACATTCTTCTAATACAATTTCCTTCCTGGTTATCTACCATTGTGCAACACCTATAATCTGCTTTCCCTTAGCGTGTGTTAGTTTCTAAAGCTGATGGACAACTTAACTTCACCTATTCTATTGTAATAGTATCACACTCCAAATGATCTTCCAAGTTCGTGAAAACACATCAAGCCCTTACTCGGTCACCCGTTTGGGAATGCAAACAAATTAAAATATTAAAGCAAAACATTTTCTTTGAAGTGCCTCTCTTCAACAGAGATGTCCATATATTTAAAGAAACTGATTTTTAGTAGCTTTTCAATACAGTTATGGATTTAGATTTCAGTTTCCTGTAATTCCTTCCTACAGCCCTTTATATCTGTGTTGTCACACAGTAGTTTAGACTATCCTCAAGTTAAAAGGCTTAAACAATAGTTTCACAAAAGGAAGAATGTCACAACTGCATACTTCCTTCACAGAACAGCCTTACGCTTTCTACAAATCACACAGAAAAGGAGGGCTAGAAAAATGGGTAAGAACTGGAGGGGGTTGAGAGGTGAGAGGATCAATATGCACTGTTCCCCCTGTACATTTGGTGCACAGTATCTCTGAAGACTAAAGCGTGGAATGACATTATTTCTCTCCTGAAGGACAGGGGCAGTTAGTATCATGGAGTGGGGACTGACTGGAATCCAAAACTGCCACTAAGGCAGAGATGTGATAAGGTTAAGTACTAGCCTTTCAGCATATTATTTTCTGTATGAAAAAGTAAACCTTTGCCTCCTCCACAAATCCAAAAAACTATCAGGAAAGAGTGCTATCAGAAGACTCCCAGAAGATTTCCCTAGCATTCTACCCTCTGCCGTCTCAGCCACATACAAGATGGATCAATCTAGCTACTTCTTTGCAGACTGGGAACAGGAACAAAAACTGGGAACAGAACATACTTTCAAGTACTTATATGAACAGCATAGAACTATTATACAAATATAAATTTATCTTATGGAAATTCTGTTTTCTGACATTACTAAGTAAATAGATCCATCAAAAAAGTTATATATTATCTATAGTATATAATAGATAATTTTTAGCTGCAGACTAAAGATGTGTTACAAAATTAGTTTTCTGAATTTCTTCTCATTTACAAGTAACGCATCAATTCTGAAAAATCATGCTTCCTTAAAGCTGCTATTTCTGAGATATAAAATTCTCTTAGTAAATTAGTCATTATGTGCTTAATTTGTACAGTTCTTGATCTTATGCCACTGCTAATAAACTTGTGCCTCAGGAGTAAGTCAAATGAGTCAGTGTACAGGTTTTTGTTTCTTTCTTTTTTTTTTTACTGAATGAGCAAATCAATCACACATCAGTGTTGTAAATTTATGTGCAAAAGCATTGAAGTGCTTTACTACAAATTACAACGTAGAAACACGTTAACTAAACAATTAAATTCATACAATCAGATTTAGGAATATAACAACACAAAGAAGAAACAGAATTACAGTACATTTACAACACAAGACAAATACATGGAATTCATTAGAAAATATTGTAATAAATAATTCATGAATTATAGTGCAATTGATTTATGCATAAATATAACTAATTGCCTAAAAATCAGTTGTTAACAAAAATCTGTCAAAAATCAAGGCAGCCACAGAGTTTTACTAAATTACTGCGACAATGGAAATACTGCAATTAAAAAACAAATACAAGTATTTGTACTGTAAACAACTAAAAAAATCAGTCTCACTAAAGTTAATATACAATTTAATATAAAATTGTCATTAGCTACCAGAAATGGTTTAAACAGCTTTACTGAGCAGTAGTTCTAAAAACAGAGGCACTGTTTTTTAATATAAAATACTTGAGAAACATTCAAATAAGTAGAAAGCATGTAGGGCTTGCTTTCGCCTTCATTTAAAATTCTGCTGAAACAGGAATTTTCAGAAATTTGTCAATTACTAAGTAGTGACTGGTAACTGAATTTATAAAACAGTTCAAAATGTGTAATTTAAATGACATTTAATGGAATACATAGGGTTGGGGAAGGAGAATCTACACATTTCCCTGCCTTTCCTTAGTTGTATAATCAAAGGTTAGCCTAATAATTAGAAACAAATAATTCTGTTCCTTTAAACACTTACAGGTTGAGTATCATCTATAAACTATCAAAAAATATTTTAATATACTATTTCTGACCAAAAAATAAATACAAGTACTAAAATGTTGAAAATTAATTATAATATTACATACAAAACTACTGAGTACTGTTAAGTCAATAGTAAAATGATCCCTGATTTTATGAATCCTGTTAATTTTTTGGTCAGGTCATCTTTTAAATGATATAAAAAGAGTACTTTAACTTGCCTTCAATATAAACTTCTGACTCAAGTTTATAGCATTGTCTGAGGAGTAGAAAACATCAGCATGGTACAAATATTAGGCAATGTATTGAAGCCCCAAATTTCTGCAAGTAAAACTGTATAAAGACAGATCTTGAAACATTTAAGGTTTTTTCAACTTCATTTTTCAGTGGGAATATATTCACAAATTAATCCTTCCGGCCCTCACAAAATATGGCTTAATTCTTTTGAAATGAAAGATGACCCTGACATCTGCTGTTTTGTGACCTCTTTGTTATCAGGTACAGTTCTTCTTAAAAAAAGGATTCATTCTGTAATATGCAAGTAAACCTTAGTCACTGAAGAAGATTCAGTATAGATCTGAGAGACCAAAGAACTGAGACACTGGTTGTGCAGTTTCAAAGTATTATTCTGTTTTAAAATGGAAGTTGTTACTTTTTACTAGCGTTGATAAGTACGGGCTAGATTTTGCCATCAATATTTCAGTATGCTATCCACTGAATTTAATGGCAAGCTTATCTATAAATTAAATTACCTGATGTGGTCCATATGTATCTAATGTCCCGTTTTATTTATATAATTAACCTATACACACAAGCAAATTTAAGTGGGGAAAAAAAATGTATGCATGTGTACCAAATGTACAAAAGTTGAAGTGTTTTTCTGTGCCATATTAGATGCATGCAGAAAAAAACTATATTTTGAGAGGAAAAGGGCATTGATGGTCAGTATTGAATGTATGAAGCAAGCCCCCATTCTTCATATGTAGACACATACTTTTGTGATATTACACAAAAAAAATTAAGTATGATATAAAGTTCAATGCAAGTACTTTGAAATTCATGTAAAAACTGCAATATGAAGGTAATTGGTCTCCCTTAAATTCTATTAAAAGTTACGTATTTAAAGTGAACTGCCTAACTTCTAACTACCAAATTTATAAAGAATTTATATTATTGAAAGTTCAAAACAGCTTCACTGTTTAATATTTGTATTTCTATCAAGACCCTGAACTGCAAATTTGGTTATTAGCAAAATGATAATGTAACTTGGTATTCATTTTGATAAACTGAAAAAGTTTTGAAATGTCACAGCAGCAAATACATTACAGTTACAGTGAGGTTCTTCAATAGGAGTGTGACACAGTCCTTAAATAAATTTTAAGTAGTCATAACATCAACTAACCAGCACGTTTAAACGAAAAAACAAACCCAAACCATTCTCAAGCTCATTCTGTGCACATTATGAACATGCTAAGTTGCATTCCAACTTTCTTTTTAAACCTTACAAGTTACCTTATTTGTCAAACTAAAAAGGAAAATTATGTTAAAGTTTAAATTATTTTATGCTCTTAGTATTCCATCTTATTTCATATTTAATAATTCTATAACTACAGTAATTTCTCAGGTTTCATAAGTGTACACTTTGTAAACACCAATTTCTTTCTAAACCACCAACAAAATTTTCTTAAAATGATAAAAAAATGCAGTTTATGCCTGCTAAACACACATTTTTAGTAACGAAATGTTTTTCTTACTTGTATTGGATATTTAAGTAACGATGAACTTTTTTTCTTTCACAGAATGTACTATATCCTACTAATACTTCACAAATCCACTTCCTTGTAAGGAACTAGCTTTTTAAAAAAATCCCTTGATTTGTATCATCTGAGTTACTTACAATTTATTGCAAGTATTTTGTGAAGTATAAAAGCCTGCTAACCCTTGGTTGTGTATTTTCATAATAAGATGGATTATTGAACGGGTAGAGTGGTTCTTCACCAATTAAAAATTATGCTTCACATGACAAATACTTGTTTTCCCAAAACATCTTTATGCTATTGACTACTAAATAAAACCTGAATCTTTTCACCTATTTATACAAGGATTATATTAAATACACACTATCAGAATTAAGTGAGCAACTCTATAATTCTGTCCACAGTGAAAACCCTGAATAAAACTATTTTTCAAAAGGCATGTATGTGGTTTTTGAACTGTATAATTTCACGTCTTCTGTCAGAGTGAGCATATGTATTTCTCACACAGTGTGTGTATACAGACATACATACACACACACGAAACAATTTGCTAACAATTATTCTACACAGGCTTGCTACTAGTTTTGCAGCTGCCAGTCCCTGAATCTGTCATATTAAATAAGCCAGTATCTGGTAATCGGAGCTTCTTCTTCGGTGGAGTCTTCAATGTTCCAGATCTTTCTTTTACTTTATATTCTAAAGTGCTGTGAGGTACCCCATAAATTCCTTGTGCTTTGGAAACACTCATTTTCCCACTCATTACCATTGCAATTGCTTCTTCCATTATTTCATGATCATACTGCCGGTAGCGGCCACGTTTTTTTCTTGGTTGCTTATTATCTTTACGATCCAAACTATCTTCTGTATTTTCTGAGGTTCCATCTACTGTCCCATTCTTAGCATTAAGACACAAAGGAGAGAGGTCCCCATGCAGAAAGTAGGAGTCAACACTTGAGTGAGTTACAGGTCCAGAACATTCAATTTTGTTCTGTTTAGGGAGTATATTTTTCAATTTTTGAAGAGCTGATCCTTCTAAGACTGAGGAGGTTTTAGAAACGTGGTACATAACATCCAGAAGACCAGCAGTATCAGACTGTGGTTTGGACACTGAACTTATTCTTAGCTGAGGAATTTTTAATTGTACAGTAGGACTTGAAGTTTCATATTGTAGATTTTCACTTTTTTCTTTAAATTGAGTGACCATTCTCTGTAGAGTTAACTGGTGGAGGTAACTGGAAGCTGTTGGGAATTTTAATTCTGAGGTTTCAAGTAGACTGAGTTTACTTTTTTCTGTGCGCTCTGCTTGAGCTCTTGCCCACAAGGCTACTTTTTGTAGGACTGCACAAGTTTCTTTACTGTCTTTAAATGAATAACTATCATTGAAATCTCGAGTTTTGTTTTTAAAAGGTGCAGGCTTTCCTGCTGGTAAGGCTTCTAAGTGGAGAAGTAAAGTTTTTTGAGGTATGCCATAAAGTATGCCTGCTTTATTTATGTCCAGTGCTCCAGACTGAATGTCTTTCAAAGCTTTTGAGAGCAAACCATCTGCAAACTCAGCACTTCTTTCCACATAGTCCTCTCTGTGTCTGTGTAGTCTCCTGGATGGATGGAATGAAACGATGGTAAACTGATGTATGAGAGACTCTCACACAGCTATGGAAGGGAAGGGTCCACTCCTTTATTATACTCCTTGCTTCGGTAACATCACTGCTTCTGATACTTTTAAGCCTTTGAGATGTGGTAGTTAAATGATTATCCTAGCAAAATGTTACAGTTCTGGTAGGACAGTGCGTCAAAAATCATACGGTGGCTTCTACAGCAGCCCTTCCAAGAACTTTATATCCTAGCTCAGTATTTGATAATATTCTCATGTGCTTGCTATATTCCCTTGTTCACATGCTTGCAGAGCAACAGTGTTATAATTTTAATTATACAATTAACGTTCCATTTAATACCCAAATCCTGAAGGAGTTTTTGTTAGTAGAAACGTGACGTTACCGCTAAACAAGTAATAAAAGAGTCAACCCCCTCATAGAAAATTTGCAGCAATAAGTACATAACTACACACAAACATCCCAGACTTACACAAAACTAGGCTTTCTACAACAATAAGATAAAGTGCTGTAGTTAACAATCAAGTCCATTTTGGCAAAATAAAACACAGTTTAAAAAACTTCTAGCCGCTATTTACAGCTCTCTAATTACAAAGTCATCCATTTTAAAACTTCTTCATATCAGCAAATTAATAAAATGCAAATTTACATCACCCAACAAATACTGCTATAGTAGTCCTATTTGCAATCAATTATTTGGTAAGACGTACAGGTGACAAAAAGGGTCCTGCTATGGCTAGTGGATGGGAGGATGCCAAGATCATAACAAAATCCAACAAAACAATGTGTTTGCTAGTTTTGTGGTAGCTTTCAGCAGATGCAATAACGTTTTTCTTGCTGAATGAAGAAATTTAACCATTTGCCACCACACACCATAGTCAGAACCATGATGTAAGTATACATATGACGATTAAGAGCTCTCTCTCACGCACTTGCTCTCTCTCTCTTATTAAGGAATATTATAGATAAGTCATTTAACTTGTTCATGTTAGTTGCAGAATATTTTAAATCTAAATATTAACATGGTAATTTCTGTCCAAAATTGAAGTTTCCTAAATAAACTCTGAAAGAATGTATTTACATTTTCTTCTACCATCCTATTACTCTTAATGTGTTATGTAATCAATTTTCAGTTCATTTTTAGTAACATGAACTAAAGTTTGGTGATTGTTCTGATAACTTTTCTTTAAACAGAAAAAAAGGAAAAAGACAAATGAAACATATGATATATACGTAGACACACACTTATGAGTGACAAAAATTCTTTTGAAAGCAAAATAGGAACCACATGTGTGTGTCAGTATATACAAATATGTTATGAACATAAAACCTGACTTCAGAGAAGAGAAACCTGGATTGTCTTTTACATAAGCCAAGGAGAGTCCTAAACATTGCTTACCCAGACACTGAGTTTTCAGAACACAATGGATCATATTTTGGTTCTTCCAACCTTGCGCTTTTCTTTGTAGAGAGATCTAGCACTCCATCCCCTGCAAACAAGGAGTAGCGATGATAGCAGTTGTTTAAGGATGATCTCAAGAAATTTTGTTAGCAAATGTTTGTACCTATGGCACAATTTTTAAGCAGAAATTTTTCAAGAGAAAGTAACTGACATTTTATTCCCTTAACAATATCAGCTGTCAGCAAATGGTTTTATATATTTGATTAGTAACAAAACTTTTAAAAATTAAGAAACAGGTAAAAAATAAACCCATTCAGAAATAATAAAATATAAAAGAAGAATCAGTCTTAAACAGAAACATGTGACTGCTTTCCTAAAAATCACATATGTATATATATATATAGCACTGTTTACTTTCAAGGCAACCAAAGCAATGCACCTGATATTATTACTATATTTGTATTTACATACTGTAAAACAAACAAGCTTGATACTGAAGTTAAAATTGACATAACTAAATCATAGGCTTACAGGATAATGCAGGCTACTAGGGATCTTGGCAGTCCTCTAAACCAACCTCCTGCTCAGAGCAAGGTAAGCTATGAGACCAGAACACGTTACTGGATGAGAAAGTAGCACCCCAGTAACTAGGAAGAGAGATCAAGATCAAGCCCAATATAGTTTTAAGCATGAGACTTATGTCATTAAAGGTTCTAATAATTTGTTTATACATTTTCCCCAGCTGCCCACCCCATGAAACTAGAGGAATGGAAAGACGTAAACTGGAGTGGGAGTCTAATCTAAGTCACTGGCAGATGTTAAATTCCAGATTTATAGTTGGCTGTTGAAGTCTATGAAGTGTTGAAATAGAAACCCATATTTTTTAAAAATCAATATTTAAGAACACTGAGAATTAAAGAAACTAATTATCACCTGAAATACTATTTTGTTTCTTGGGTTGTTTTTTTTTGTTGGGTTTTTTTTTTTTTTTTTTTAAAATCACATTTGAAGTATAGCTAAATCCCCTAAATGTATTTAATTTCATACCTTTCTTCCTTCATTATGTTTCAGACTTGGGCTGTTTTGTGTGCCTGAGCTCTGCAAATCCAATTTTGAGTTTCAGCATATAGCTCAACATTCAATTCTACAAGCAACCTTATGCTAGCTCTTTTTACATTAGTGTCATTTTCATGTTACTGTGTATTATTTCTAAAACATCAATCAACTCTATATATTTTCCCACAGCCTCAGATGCAGACAAGAAGCATTGGCTGAACATTCCAAATGTCAACACTCAAATAAAAAGTCAGAAATATGGTTTGGGTAACTCTCCTTTATACCAGTACTACAAAGAAATTGTGTTTTCTGTAATAATAAAATCCAGCTATTTGTTTTGGAATATTTTTAAACAATTTTGGATTGTTTTTCCCCAACTAGATTGTATTATTTGAAGAAGGGTAATGAGAGAAAAGGTTATATCATAAATCAGCATAAGGGGAAAAAATATTTATAAATATACGACTTATCAAAGATGCTCCTTTTCTCCTGAATATATTTCTTTCAAAGTATTCCTTAACTCTAAGAAAGTTAAAGGAAGGATTAGTTAATGTTAATCAACCTTTCTGATATAGTGATATTCCAAAGGAAAAAACAATTAAAACCACTACAGAAATATTCTATGGGGACTATTTGGACTACCCAGCTGTAAAGTATCCCAAGTACCTAAGCTCCCAATGTCCCCGAGTCCTGTGCAACAGACAGATTTCATCTGTTGTGTCCTATCAGTCAATATACAACTCCCTTTAAGTTTTTGTGTGTTCCCTTTCACAACAGTTTCTCCATCTTCAGTTGATATTCACAGGAACTATAACAAAAGTTTAGAAGAGATCACTGGACAAAGTCACTGTAGAAAAAACTACTTCAAAGTTCACAATTCATCAAGTATGAAAAGCTAACCATCTCTCTAGTCACTCTACAAAAAAAATGAAGCTAACTAGGTTTTTAGGAAAACCCAACAAGCAAAACGACTCTCGCAAGATTCCATAATGAAATCAAACCAAATTAATTTTAATTTCTAATATTTGAGAATTGGCTTTGGCAATACAAGGCCATTAGTAAGTTGAAAAATCACTAAAAAGTACACAGTACTGAAAATGTATGTTCCTGAAACAAAAAATTAGATAAGATTTTAGGCCTCTAAAGGGTAAGCAGAACTGAAGAGTCATTTCAGGTTCACGACAGTTGGATCCTCCACCAGAGCAAATGTATTCATTATATGACACCTCCCTGAAGATAATGCTTTATGGGAAGAAAATCCTCAGAAAAAATTGAGAGATTTGATGTATATATGAAATACCAGATAAAGAAATCACACACCAGGCTTTTATTCAGTGATTTCACTCAAATTAAAAACCCAAAACCCAACAAACCAAACAATACAAACCCACCCAAATTAATGCAGAAAGGGCTGATAAATCAAAAAGATTCATTTCTGCTTTGTAGTACTATAAATTATTGTTTATAATGAAGAAGCACGCAAAATTGGTAGGAAAATGAACATTTGCTATAAAGCTTTAAGACATAATGAAATGCTACCTAATGAAAGGAATGTATGTATGTATATATACACTGTAGAGATATTCAGTTTGGTTTCACTAGGTACCAGACCAAAAGGTTTGCAAGGAGGCATCCTACAGGGGTACAATGAACCTTGAAAATCTGTTACTTGCAAGGTAGGAATAGGTTTTTTTCAAGAGCCAGAAGTTTCGATTATTTTTAATCAAACCACTCAAAACAGGTATTTAGGCAAGAATTCTGGACAGGAACTGAATGGTATCAGGAACAGAAAAAACACTCTATAAGGTAGTTTTATTAAAAGACATGGAATTACTTCCACTCTTCAGCTGAAGCCATGACTACCAACACGACAGTCTTCATAAACAATGCTATGTAACACCAGATAAAATAGAAAAAAAATCTGGTCTGCTGCTCATATCTTCTAATGAAGTTATTTCTGTGCAAATTAAATTATTTTGATCTTCATAGAAATGGCTCAACCTCTGGCCTTTGCTTCTCAGCACCTGACCACCGGGTACAGCACTACTGTGATCAAAGATCACCTTCAAAACAATCAGGATAACAATCACTTGAAACTTCTTCAGACTAGTGATGTTAGAGAAACAGGGGTGGTAAGAGCAAGTACACAGAAACTGTTTGGGTCACCCTTGAGTTCCTACAGTTGGTATTTCTGTACTGATTCTAGCAAACTTCTGTTTTTTTCCGGGTTTCAGGAAGTTCTCACTAGCTCTTATAAACTGCCTTAGTAGGTGAGACTGCCTACTCTACCCAGTCCCTAGTCTCCAGGCATCAGAAAAATTCCACTCCTAGTGTGGGAGAGCACGTGAGCCCAGACAGTACCTGTAGCTCATTCCACTCCCGCTCTCCCAGCAGCTGCTATCACTGGATTAGGGATCTCAGAGATACGACCCTGCCTACTCTAGCTTTCATTTCTGGCCTTGGTTCTGTTAGATGACAAGTTGTCCAAGGCCTCTTTCAAACCCAGTGACACTGTCCATCTCCACAAGCTCCTGTCACAGCAGTACCTGATGTTAACAAACTGCTGTGTAAAAGCTGCCCCTTATCTGTTTTTCATGTAGAGGTTTCAGCAAGCCCTAAGTAGTTCTAATACCATGAAATTTAGTAAAAACTCTGCCTTTCTCTTATCCATCATACTGTGGTAAACCTTAAGGTTTTTCATAGCAACAAAATGACACTGTCTTGTCTTCAGTACCTTTTCCTGATGATGCACTGCCTTTTGCTGGCTGTTTTCTGTGCTGCTGCACATGGAAACCATGTTTTCAGAGAACAGTTAGTAATTTAATTTTTAAAATTCTTTATTAATTCTTAACTACTGCTTTGACTAGCCCCTTTTTGCCAACCTGATGTGCTGTTTTGTAAAATGAAAGCCTGACAGATGAAAACTATATGGTTCTATAGTGGGAGTCCATGGCAAGGTCTAGGCACATCTGAGAGGAGAGGCCAGGGCTGCTCTGAGCTAGAAACAGACAGTTCTAGCTGGTTCCACAGACCCACACTAGCACACAGTGGAGCCCAAAGGGAAAACTTATTTAAGGAAGGGCAAAAAGTGACAGACGGAGAGAGAAAAAGGAAACAAAATGCAGGAGAAAACAGCAGCAGGAAGCCCAATGGCAGAAGAAAACAGCAGAGAGAAACCATTAGGCACAGACCACATCAGGGTGGCTAGTGGTCACAAGAGAATCTGGAGTGAAGCTGAGCCTAGGAAAGCGGGGAGAAAAGGTGGTGTTGTAACATGTCTATCTGGTTCCACTAACTGAATCAATAATTAAGTATTTGATAGGCAATAATTTAAGGTATTTTCCCCAAGCAGAGTCTGTTTTGCCCATGATGGCAAATGATAAGCAGTGACTGTGTCCTTAACTCATGAGCTTTCCTTCTTGTTCTTCCCATTTTTTCCCGTGTCACTGAGAGGGAAGCAAGTGAGTGTCTGAGAAGAAGCTTGGCTGTTAGCCACCGTGGCAGCCAAAGAAGAAATAAATACCTACTCCCCTCAAAAATGCAGCCTTTTAGGGTGACCTTTTAATGCACAAGTATTAAACTGTCTCTTGAATATATTTACAGCTCATACAATTTATCTTTGGGAACACAGCATGTATACCTTCAAAAAGCATTGTATTTTACCCAATATATACTGTAAGAACAGTACTGAAAATAACGTTTTATTTTCTTAATATACTCTTTGGATTTCTTTCAGTAGCTCTGAACAAAGCAATCAAGAGGCCAGACATACTGTGATTCCAGATGCCGTACTAACTTCAGTGTGGATTTTCAAGAGATATGAAACCACTTTTCAAAAATCAAGAATGGTTTCCAAATTCTTGTCCATTATTCAGAAATCTTTTTATTTTACTATAAATTTTAGTGAACTGATATGCACATTGTTAAACTGGATTAAATGCCATTTTAAATAATATAAACAGAATTTTGACTTAGATTATCCTTTTCCTACTTCTTCAATAATAGCCAACAATGACAAAGTTACAGCTGTAAAAAGTTCATGCAGCAAAATGTCATACACTGCCAGCTACCTTCTGATGTCTTCCAATCTATGATGGATCAATGAAAAAGAAATCTGTCAGTTCTCTTGCAATTTTCTGCTATGTTTACACACTATCATTGTTCCTAGAAGATATAGCAACAAGAATAATTATGCTTGTGTAGCTGAACTAACAGATTGTTTATTTGTACGGCTTATACTTCTGCCTCTTGTAAGTCAAGCCTGGCAGCTTGAGAGTGATCAAGTCTCCCATACCTATCAAGGGAAAGACGCTTCTGCAAAGTTAGCTGCTGCTGGGAACACTCTCCAAAGAGCTCAGCAGCATGGCTGCACAAGAAAATAGTAAATTGCAGGATATTTCCAAGACTGGTCCTCACTCAGTGTTTTATTCTGCAGGGATGTTGCTTTTTCAATGGCTTAGTTTGGAGGACAAGTAATATTGCAAAAATACACAATACCACCCTTTTTTGTTAGATGCAGTGCACATAAAACAAATTTTCTTTCCTATACAGGGTATCCTTTTCAAGGCCTGGACAGCCTTAGAGCTATATGGATTAGCAAAAAAGAGCAAGATACAGGTATTTCTGGAGATGGTTGCTTCTAACTGACCAACAATGAAGTAATCGCCTGATTAGTTACCATAAAGGTGCACAGAAATTAAAGCACCTTGTTATCACACTTCCACATGTAGAAAAAAGCAGAGCATAATTTGGGACTCTACCATCAGTCAGGTGCTAGCTGGTTGTAACTGGTTGCCAGTGCTAAAATACTCAATACTGGATGATTCAGTACCACGGGTGCAATGGGTTGAGCCTGGCCAGTAGCTAGACCCCCACCCAGACCCTCCCTCACCTCCCCTCCTCAACAGGGGGGTGGGGAGAAATAAGATGAAAAAGGTCATCAAGACAAATACACTTACCAATTACCATCACAGGCAAAACAGACTTGGGGAAAATCAATTTACTGCAAACTAAAAGAGATTTGGATAATTAAAAAAGATAAAAATTAAAGCACCTCCCCACCCCACCTTTTCCCAGGCTCAAGCTCACTACCAACTCCTCCACATCTCTCCCCCATCCCCATGTAGCACAGGTGGGATTGGGAATGGGGGTTACAGTCCGTACAATTCATCTCTACAGCTCCTTCCTCCTCACACTTTTCCCTTGCTCCACTGTGGGCTCTCCAGAGTCCACAGTTCCTTCCAGAAATATCCAGCTGCTCCAGTGTGGGGTCTTCCACAGGCCGCACTGTGCCTATCTGCTCCAGAGCCTCTTCAATGAGCTGCAGGGGAATACCTGCTCTTGTGCCTGGAGTGTCTCCTCCCCCTTCTTGTCCAACCTTGTTCTTCACCCTGCTGTTTCTTACTCTCTGCCTCTCCAGCATTTTTGCTCTTTCTTAAACATGTTTTCACAGAGGCACCACAAACCTCAATGGTGTGCTCCACCTCGGCCTGCTGTGGGCCTGTTGCAGAGGTGACTGTGCCGAGCACAGGGAAGCCCCTGACCTCTTCTCATAAATGCCACCCCTGCAGCCCTCCGCAGCTAACAAAACCTTGACATGTAAACCCAATACACAGGGATATCAGATCTGAAAGTGTCAGGGCTGAGTATTTTGGGAGTACTTCAAAGATGGCCCACAGACATGGGAGAAAAGTAAGAAACTTTCTTAAATGAAGATAAGATCACCCAGACATCTTCACTAGCAGAATCTTTTTCCAGTATTGAACTAGCAGTTTGCTTAGATCTGTTCAGTGTAAAAAACCCACTTCTAGTGGTCTAGAAAATAAAGCTTACACCTTCCTCTCAAGCCCAAGAATTACTGATACAGGAACAATATTATCTGTTTTATTATTTAGATCATTAATTTTAAAGACAACTACTGTAAATATAAAGCATCTACCTGAATAGAAAATTAACCTGAAGCATTTATGTTTAGGTCATTATCTGCTTCACAGGATTTGAATGAAAACAATTTCAGCTTTGAGGATTCAGAGCAACATACAAATTTGAACTTCCTATTCTGTTACTGCCCTTCATTTGGAAATTGTAACAGAAATTACAAATAGCAAATAATAAAGAGTTGCATGACAATTAAAAGACACTACTAAGAAGGGAACCGTGGTATAGTTTTTACAAGTCTCCAGACTGAAGAATTATACTGTTAGACAGAATAATATATTTTTAAAAAGAATCAAATTTTAAAATTTCACAATTCAATACTGTAAGCATATAACAATTCAATACATCCAAGCTTTCTTCAGGAAAAGGACTGAAGTAAGCGGTAGGTAGAATAATAATACATAGTATCTGACAATAGCTCATTGAAAGAACTTTTCATGAATCATTGCACCTAGAACACAACGCAAATAAGAAGAGCAGGCTGACTTATTCCATCTTGATCTTATTTGTGTTGCTACCACTGTAGTGGAAAGCTAAGACAGCTCAAAAATTGATATGTTCATGGGAAACAGGAAGCACAATACAACTTCCCTGGTAGATAAGATAAGATGGCTTGAAATCTTTCTCCAGCTACAGTCTTGTTTTAATACTTCCTCTCATTTCAGTAGCTCAAATCTTCACAGCAAAACTAGTACCTTTAACATCTGCAAAGCACTCCAGCAAACACGTCACTGAGAATCTACAATATTTTACAAAGTTTTACATAGTAAACTATGTATGCTGAGAAACTATTTTAGCCTCAGATGTTTTGCTGAAGACACACAATTCTAAACTTGCTGTTTAGCCTCATCATAAGTAAAATTAAAATAAATACCTCAATTTCTCTATACTTTTAAGTTTTTCTCAGACAAAAGATCAATAAATTTTCAAATAGCTGAGGGTGGCAGCAGAATTTCTTTCCCATCCCTGCCCTGTTCACCATCTGCCTTCCCTTTAATTCCTCAAAGATTTATTTGGGCTCAGAGAGGACCAGAACTTGTCTTTGGGGACTTTTCTCCCTCACAGACATTTTAAAATAGCTATTCTTTATAATCAGCTGTTGACGTAAACAACGGGCTACAGTGCTGATATAAGGAAAGTACTTTTTATTGCTGCTGAAAAAGAAATGTGCTTAAACCTTGCCATTTTTCTATCTCTAAAATCTGTAGTTCATGCATAGCAGAGGGTATGACAAAGCATAGCAGGTATTTTCTCAGGATTTAATCTGCACAAGGTATTTGCTAAATCCAGGCATGAACTGGTTTCTGCAGACCATGCAGAATAAAAGCAGGAATTCCACAATTTCTTAATGCTTCTGCTGTCAAAGAGAAAGTATGCTTAAAATTTAATCTAGAATAGGTATTTTAGCAAGGTAAATCCATGTCAGAATTCCCCCCACACATACCAATTTAATGTCATCTAATTAAAGACTGCATCATTAAGCACACACATATGAAATCTGCTTTCATTTTGACCAATGTATATTTTTAAAATTTAATTCTGCAGTTCTACCTTCTTTTAACTTTTTTAGTATGGTACATGACATACAGGTAAATTTTTTCCCTTTGGTTTGCAGTATTATTGGATTAACAGGGACCCTTGTATGTATAAAAGACAAAAGCTGCTTTTGCCACTGCTTTTAGTTGCACATGACAGTCAAAACCCTTCCTGAAAATCGCTGCTAATCCAAATCAAGTTCAAAGTCTAAACCACTCTTGTGATTATATTGTTATCAGTTTTGGATAGCAATATTTCTTGAGGCAAAGAAATTATTTTTGTATATGAGGGTGAGACAGACTTTTTAATTTTCTAGCTTTACCCTCAATTAAGAAAGTTGCACTGAACTATAATGATTAAGGCATGAAGTATGGAAATTTCCTCCCAAATTAATCTCCTCTTTCCATCATTCTAACCACTCTATATTTAAGAAATCAAAGTGTCCAAGGGCTGACACAGATGGAATGACCTTTGCTCTCTGGAATTCCACTATGTTTCTTCTTCTTCTCAGAAGGCTTAACAGCCATTTCTTCAACAAAATTCTGAATCACTGGTACCTGTGACAGCCACAGGTGAGCCGTCTTAGATTCAGTATTCTAAAGCTGAAAAATTCCAATGCCGTATATTTAATGCGGGCATTCAAAAATGAGAATATTCATCTGCTAACAAACAATATGAAAAATGTTTCTAGAAAGAATGTGGGTTTGGTTTGTTTTTTATTTGGTTGTTGGTTTTTTTTTTGTTTGTTTTGGTGGTTTGTTTTGTTTTTCCCAGTTTCCTTATAACATTTTTCCTGGTGTTTAAAGGAAAATGTATAACTTTTCTTTAGGTGTTAAATTGATGCAATGCCAATTTTTCTTCAACCTTCTTTTAATTATGTAATTGCCCCCCCTTTATATTGATTATTACTTTGGAAAGACAAAACATATAGATATGACACAGACACTTTTTTTTTTTTTTAAAGGGAGTAAGACCTAATAAGGTAATAAGTGACAGCAAAACACAAATAAGCAGATATAGAAGTTTACCTTGCTGAGTGTTCTGTTCTTGAGTTCGATTCACAGTGAGGTCTAGAGGGCTATCCTGTTCTTCCTGAAGGGAGTTTTCCGTTTGGTTCATTTGGATACTTTTACATATCAGACTTGGTTCAAATGATGAACCATTTCTGTTCTCTTGAATTTTGCTACTTTTTGAAATGTACTCAATCGCAAACTGACGGATCATTTTTTTCATTAATTCCTGAGCAACTAGGGGAATGTTAGGATCACAGTTCTGAGGAAGATCTAGGAATAAAACAGAACAACACAGGCAACAGATGTATTAAAAAACCATATTTAATTAATTTTCTTTAAATATTTCTTATAAGCACAATAAGTGCTTGTAATAAGAACATATGTAATGAACAGATTAATTCAGATGTCTATAAGTTTTTCTTATGAGCATTCCTAACTAGAGGTCACTTGGAAGAACATGTTTAGCACACATCAGTAATTTTTACCTTATTCCTCTGTAATAGCACGCAAGTAAAACTATATGGGTGCATAAATAATGAAAGTATGGGAGTCAGAATCTGTATTTATTGTTGATAAATAAATGACTTTTCATTTGTAGACTGTTCATTTTCAGTTTTGAAAATAAAGAATTTTGAATCACACCATTGAAAGCTAAATAAATCTGTGAATTAATACATAATGAAATTACTTTCAAAGCACAACTGTAAGAAAAAAATAACTTTAAAGCACAATTCTATAGATTAGTCCTTTTCATAATAGAACAGCTGGACTTTTGAGGAAAAAAATCTGTTTCACCTACATATTATATTCATCTACAGCTTATAATCCCCACTGTAGATTCAGGATTGCAATATCAAAACTGATATTATGCTACTTAAAATGTCCCATAAAATTGCAGCAATACAAGCGATTCAATTTTACAATTAAGTTATAAATGTTTATTGTAAAATCTCACAGGATTTCCAGGACATTTCTAGGACATTTTCAAAGTGCTACCAACAAAATCATCTGGGAGAAAATCTTTATTTCCTATTCTAAACTGTGTGTACCCTTTTTTCTGTTTGTGTATGTATCAGTCCCATAGAAAGGCACATTTTAAAAATACAATACAAAGGGATCAAACATGAGATACCTATGACTTTATTTTAATGTTATGTCATCTAGAAAAAAGTTAAACCTCTTATTAGTGAGCATAGCTGAAACTACTTTTGTGAATCACTGAAGAATCCTAATATAAAGAGAAGTACCAGAAAGATCAACAAAATAAAGATATGTAACTTAGCATAGAGTTTCTTAATTGTGCTGCGCTTCAATGCAATACTGCATTGATGACTACAATATTTCATTTCACAAGACAAGCACAATTGCCCATACTCAGAGTATAAGATCTCTGTTCTTCCTTAAAGCAGCAGTAGTAGTACTCATTTCACTATTCCCCTCTTCCTTCTTTTCCTCATCTCTACACACACCCTACAAAAATATCCTTTTCAGTGTTTTAACCACTGTCCATCCTTGAGTTCACAGAAAATGACTGAAACAGATTTCAGCAAGAAGGGACAGCAATTTAAAGATTTAAAACTGTGAACATGATACAGAAGAATTAGCTTTTAAGTCAGCCTTGATTGCCTAAAAGCAATGCCAAAGGACACTGTGTCAGTTACCAGAATACTTAAATTCATCTGAAATAGATAAGACAGACAATAAATTGAGTTTTGTTTTCAGGGAGGTGGAGAAACTAAAAGGACTGGATCAGGTAGATGTTTGCACACAAAGTGTAAATTTCCTAATAGGTAGCTTGAGGTTCACACAGCATATTTGCTCAAGCATTTTATGTCAGTGAAACTATTCATCTACTAGTAATAAAGTGACCATTGAGACAGATCAAAGAATGCTGCTTAAGTTTAGGATGAATGTGTGGAAGATTGTTGTTTTTCAGGTTTGTTCAAAACATATTCCATGTTGAGACTTCATTTTCACCAGAGTATTGCAAGTATTTACAAACATACACATATGTGATCTTCTTCCTAAAGCATACGAGAGGGCAGCCTACTGTTCAGATGCTTCTTGTCAATACCTTTTGTTTGAACTTTCAATAATGTTTTAAGAGACAAGTGAAGCTCCACCATTTTCAAACACTGAGTATATGCTAGATTTCTTGACTTCAAGAGACCTTATCTAAGGCATTACAGAACAATTCTGCTTATGATTGAAGCTCTATCTTCTGACAATCTTTCAACCAGATCTCTAACAAAATTTTTTACAATTGATAGGAGTTTCTAGAGGAAAGGTATGAGGTAAAATTCTAAATGATGGAGGATATGTACAAAGAAAAAATGTCTCTCCATCATGTAACACCCAGGCACAGATATTCTTTATTGGTATTTCCCAATTCTTAAATAATGAAACTAATCAATGTTCAACTGGAACTTTATCATCTTAGACACACACTTACAGGGAAAGAAAAAAACTCAACAAAAGATACTGAAGCAACAAGGCAACAGGTGTAAAAATGTTAATGTATATGCAAAAAAATAGCAAAAGAACAAGGAAAGCATGTCTGCATGACAGGGGAATTTTAGGTCTAGACAACCAAAACCACCGATCAGTAGCTTAGATTAAAAAAAAAAAAAAAAAGCCAAACAAAACCTAAACAAACCCAGACACAAGCAAAGAAAAATCTGACAGACAGTAACCAAGAAACTCACAGAATGAGATACGTGAAACATCAACAACACTGAATGGTCTACTAGCTATCTGGTCTGGAATGACCCTGCTTATACAGAGAAAGCAGTTTGTTGCATGCATCCAGGAAAAACATCTTCAAAGATTTTTAAAGAACATGTGATCATCAGTGCAAATAGGAAAGACAGGTATTTTATATCCTGTGCATTTGAAAAGCAAAATATCATAAAGCATAGAGTACACCCACCATCAGCTGGAAAACATAACAGTCTGGAATAAATATCTGCTTATTAACCACCAACCCCACCATCAATTATTATAGAACTGCAAGAACAAAGCTCCTCCAGAATTGCCAAGTTTCTGTTGCCTTTCTGTTCCACTTCAGACTCTTCACACATTAACCGCTTTTAACTGCAGGAGAAGCCCACTTTTCCATTAGGAGTAAACTGATCTTTTGACCTAGTTGGGATAACAAAGGATTTTGTTTTGTTTTGTTTTTATATTTATTTGTTTTATTTTTTTTCTAATAATTTCCGAATACTCCCTATGGAAGACTAAATGTAGCAAAATTTCTCATCTATTCAACTGCTACAGCTACTGGCAGTTTAAAGAGTTTAAATTATTTACTCTTAGAAGGTAATTCGGTGGTGGAGATGAGGAGGTATCTCAGAGCATATAATTTGGAAGATATTCCAGGAGTGCATCCAAAGTGCTCTTACGGCTAATGTATAATATATTCAATCTACAGGACTAAATCACACAGTCTAAGATTAACTGCCATAAATGCCAATAGTGTCACTATCACATTGACTGTTCTATTGTGTAAGTCATTCAATTGTAATTTATGTTGGAAGGACCTTGGGAGGTTTCTAGTAAAACTGCCTGCTCAAAGCAGGGTTGACTATGAGATCAAATCAGGTTGCTCTGGGTTTTATCCAGTTAGGTCTTGAATATGTCCATGGACAGAGACTGTACAACTTCTATGGGTAGCTTGTTCCACTGCTTGCCTGTCCTCATTTTTCCTTACACAGAAAAGAACTCATTTCAATTTGTCTCATCTTCCACTGTACTGCTATACGTTCCTGTGAAGAGTTTGATGCCTTCTCAGTAACCTCAGAGGTACTGAAAGCTGCTCTCGATCTATTCCTATTAATGCTGCTTTCCTTCCTAATGGAGAATGAAGCTATGGATGCATAACTTCCAGAGTATTTTAAAGTCAAAAATAATTTCCCACAGGTCTCCAAATGATACCAAACAAAAATATGAAAGATGCTATTCAAAAGAAAGAAGAAAAGGTTATATAGTTTCATGTACAGGGTTCAAAAGGAAAATAGTAAGTTTTTGAAAGAAAGTACTTTAAGGGTAAATGCAACTTTTATATAATGTTTTATCAACATAAGACCCTTGAGTACACACATTTGAAGTGTATTATATAAAGTCTAATTACTTCCATTCAATGGCTGGAAATTTTATTATTATACAGTATGCAATGGAAACATGTAGAGACCAGTAATCTTAAGTTTACAGTGGTGAAATTTCACTACATATGAGAAATCTGTAATTAGTCATATAAAATTTTTTAATGTAGTTTAATGTATTTTAGGGTAAGTATTAGGTCTCTGAACTTAATATCACTAGCAAATATTTCTTAATTATTATCAGCAGATGGCACCAGATATACTTTGTATTACCTAAAAGGTTTTTATTCGAAGATGTTTTATTAGGAGTCATGATTATAGCTTCTTACAGAGTTTTATAGCTACATGCCTACATACGTTTAAACTTCCATTTTCCACATAGTTGATTTGCCTGCATTACTCTGTGGACCATGTAAGCACATACATACTACTTCAAACCCAGCAGAACAGTCCCTGAGGATATATAGTAAAAGGTATCTCTGATGTTCCTCTAGTTTCTCTCAGATCACTGTAGACCTCCTGATATTATTATGATAAGAGAAGGCTAAATGACGCATTTGTATGATACAATGATATTTTCTGCTTGTGATTGTCAAGATTACAGTCAGAATGCAAGAGAAGGCAGTAATAAAGATGATTTGATTTGCATGAAGATGATGTGCAGTGATTTAATTCAAAGCTCATATTTAGGATTAAGACTTCCCCAGCTTATGTACTGCACCACCTTGTAACTATCCAAATCAGTCTTCTTAACTCTTCTGTACATTAACACTATGTATGATCACTAGACTGCAATGCACAACATAAGAAATTTAATTGATATTCCAGACTTACATGTGTATTTGGCAGAACAACGGACAAGGAGTTAAAAGCTCCTACAATAGTGTTCCACAATAGTTTTCTATTTCTTGAAAAACAGTATTTTTTCATTAAAAAGTCAATAGTGACTTAATTTCTATTCTGATACAATACAAAAAAGCAGTGGAAATCAACAGTGAATCACAAACCCCTTGTACCTTACAGCCCTGTTGTGTGAGTGGCAGAAATAAGAACACTTGGATGCTTATTGGTGTTTCCTGTATTCACTGCAGCTCTTCCCTTTTCACAGAAAGGCCACGTTTTCTAGAATGACTCCACTTCAACAGCCAAAACCTCACAGCAATATTCTCAGCTCTAACTGTAAACTTGTCCACCCCACTGTTAGATCACCAGCAAGTTAAAAACACATTATAGCAATTTATTCTGAGCCATGTATCATTATTAAGCTTAATTAACTGGACTGATAAACAAATGGAAGGAATAAGAGCCTAGCTTACTCTAATTTTGTTCTTATAAACATTCAATGTTTTTCCTTCCTCTACTCAGATGGTAATTTTCATTACTCTATACACAGTCATATCTCTAAGGGTTTTCTTAGATGTAGTTTAAAATGACCAAGAAATTCAGAAGTCAGTGAATACAGTAACACTGGCAAGTGAGCAGTAAACACAAAAAGTGTTTTACTTCACGAAGGCAGCTGAAATCCTGCTTAACATTCTTTCCCAATAAACTTGAGAAAGAGGAATAACAAGGGTGTCACAGAAGTTTACTGCACAAGCTGTGACAGGGCAAATTAGAGTTCTTAAAATTATTAATAAAAAGAAATGGCAGGTATTGGATCAAGTAGCACATACATCTGAAAACTACACCTCAGAAAGTAACACTTTTTTGTAGTCTGAAATGATGTGTGCAAGATTACATTTCCATAGGTCTGCCAAGTTACATATGTGCTGTCCAAGAAGCGTAACCAGCTTGTGACATCTATGTGTTTGAGGTGTAACTAAGCAAAGAGCAGGAGAACTCAGAGTTAAATGCAGGTATATGATATGGGGTAAGAAAGCCACAGTTATGAATGGAAATATTTTAGAATACGAGACATACCTAGAAACAAGGAAGAACTTCAAAAAACTTACAGAGAAATTATTTTAGTATGGAAAACATGTCACTGAAGATACTTGACAGAGCTTCCCAGAGAATCTGGAAAGTGTCAAGTCATTCTGACAATTTTCTCCCTCTAATTTTGTGCCTCAGTTCCTTAAATTCTACAAAAGTTTTCCAAGTTTCTATCTTCTCCTGGTGGATCATATTCTGAAGATAGAATCTGATTCACAATCACGAATGTATTTAAATGACCTTTTCTTTTTGTTTTGTTTAAAGAGTTCACATTAATACTGCACGAAAAAAGAAAACTTCCAAGAAGATACAGTGTGGATCACTAGAAACCCAGAAAATTAATAATCCATGATCAGAATGTCTGATCAACCTCTTAACTATGGTTCTACCATGTAATGATGATCATGTATGTCACATTCTATGATATTCATAGAAAAAAACCCCTAATATACGGTTTTTAAAGAACATCATTGATATTCCTTTGTACCTGTGTTTTTGTGACACTTTTCCATTTACATAACATTAAAATACACCCATTTTCTTTTGTCAATCTACTCTGCTTAAAACACCAAATGGGTAAAGAGAGATGTTATACTTAGGAAGAAAGCACCTGGGTTTCAGTTATGTTGTTTACTGGAAACAATTAGTGTTCGATGACAAAAATTACTTTGGCTTTACTGAGATGCCTGCTGAGGACAGGGTTTTCCTACAAACAACTACCTACCAAACTGGTCTTTCACTAGCACATAGTAAAGATAGGCTCCTAACAGGAAGGCCACGAGTTTTGGGAGTTTATCCATCTTGTCAGTAATTCTATCATTCTCTTTTTTCCTAAATTGATAACTGATCTCAAAAACCTACAAAAATTAAGAAAGCAGACTTGGGATTTTCCTAGTAAAACTCTTCATCTTCCCCCTATAAAGCCAAGACAATTACTTAAATACCTCAAAGTGATTTCACATACCCTTTCCAGATTTCTTCCTTTTCACTTCCCACAATTTGAACAACTTAAGAAACTTTGCTGGAACCTAACTGAAACAATATTCTTAGAAAACTCTTCAGCAAAATAACACGTATGCAAGAATACACAAATACTTCAGAGAACCACACACAAAAAAAATTTGAAAAACAAACCCTAAGTATTTTCCACAGAGAAAACCTTTTTAACCTAGTGTTACTCAAAAAACCTAAGGAAGATGCTAAAAGCCAAACACTCTTTGCAAAAAACTTCACAGAAGTCAGTCACTCCTGTACAGTGAGGTCACACCAAGTTTCACTTCTCCCTTCATAAAGGTTCCTCTTAAAGAGTATCAAACAACAGCATCTCCAGCAAAAACATAAAGCAGGCAAATGGGAAAAAAACCTGTACATCAAGACCAAGAAAAGATCTGAGAAAGTAGAAATTTGAAGGAATTAAAATACCTGCCTAGGGAGATGCCATGCAACTGGGCCTGTGATGAAAATATAGTAAGAATTTCAGAAGTAGTGTGAGGTGGCAATTTCACTGGACATTTTATTTCAAATGTAGAACAGTTGGTTTCAAAGAAAGTCAATGAACGAAAATGGACTCAAAATGCTGTCACACTCCATTTAAAGTTCTTTAGAATCCTAAAGCAAAACTTCAGCTGAACACACAGATGCCCCATAGAGAAAAAGATTCCACCCACCCTAGATTCAAGGGCATAGTAATCTCTTCCTGCTACAGTAATGTAAAGGGGAGAAAATTAACTTTGTTTTTTTCTCTCACCTATGAGAAGGGAGAGAATGCATCTGACTCCCTCTAATTCTTTGTTAGAGCAAGAGGGCTGTCATCCTAGTCATACTCAGCTATTTGACATCCAAGCACACCTACTAAACCCAAGAAAAACCTGTGAAAGTTGTAGTTTCTGAGCAGGGCTGTATTCTCATTCCTTATACAGAAATTTAAGGAAGAAAATGAATATTTTTCTGGCTTTTGACAGTGACTAAGTAACTTAAATGAACCAAGCTGACTTGTCAGTCACTCACATACTTCTATAACTTGCTGAGTGCCAAAGAACAAGGATAGCCAAAGAATTAATGGGCTACTAAATACTGTATTTTGATAAGAAGTTTCAACCTCTGTCTTGGATGTATTTGAAGTAGCAGCTTTTGCATGAGAAGATCCCAAATCCCATTTTGTCATCTGTAAGACACATTCTCTGACGTTAAATGGTCTTCCTGCTGAAAACTAGAAGGCAAAGTTTAGGAACAGAAAATGTTTAGATGCTTAAAATTCCAGAGAATGGCACCTGAAGTTAGCATAAAAACAAAATAGCAGCTCATGGCTAAAAAAACCCAATAAAATATAATGAAAAGGAATTCAAGAGAATAACACACAATGCAATAGGCAAGTAGGAAGAGTAGTGTTTCCTTTGATGATTCAAGTAAGCCAAGAAAAAGATTAAGAAAAAACAAAGGAATAAAGAAGAGAAACAACATTCCATGACATATAAAAACTATTTAAGAATCAAAATCAAACCTAAATAATTTGATTCTTCTAAATTTGTGTTATACCATTGATGTAAAAGACATGCTTTTATTACCTTTCTTTCGAAAGAGTGCATTTAGATAGTTTTCTGCTTGGCATTCAATCTTATCAGTGTTGGACTGGCCCTGAGATGACAGTTCCTCTGTAGGCGTTGACTGTGAAGAACCGATAATTGATGCACGATCCTGGAAGATATATGAAGATAACAACATCTTTCAGAAGTTAGTATACTGATAGTACAATATACAATTAAATTATTGAGCTATTAAATGAAAAAGAATCACTAAAAAGATACTATAAAGCCAAACCACCCCACTCCATCTCAAACTATCTTGAGTCAAAATGCAGTATTAACCTATTTGCAAAATTCAGTTCTCCGATTCTTACTTTCAAACCACAACTTGGGCATTGGGGAGTCATTCTTGATACCATGTTGATACTTACACTGACTGTTTCTTTGTGTAAATTACAAAAGGAACATTTCTCATCCATAGACCAGTCAGTCAGCTCTTCTGGCTCACAGTCTTAAAAGAAAAAAAAAGGCAGATGTTTTAAACAAGTAAAAATGAATTTTGAGAACAAGATACAAATCCTACATTCTCTTAAATCCATCATAATAAAACATGCATTTATTGGTACAATATAGTTAGTAGTATCCAATTCTTCAGATATTTCCAAAGTCCTGTCTGGCTCACATAGTTCAACTTTCAAACAGCAGAGCATGCTCTTCTAAAAAGGAAAGGTAACCGCATAGATTTCAGTTGATTACCTATCACAGTTACTAGAGGCATCCGAATACTATAAATAAAGCTCTGAATTCTAGTAATTTGTAGTCACACTTTTAACAAATGTGTGTAAACCTGTAGTAAACTAAGCTAGGAATTAGGATATGGATTCCTTACCACTTGAGCTCTGTATGTTGTACTTGCAATATTTTAATTGATTTGATACCATCATTATAGGTAAACCAAACCACTATATTCACTTGTAGCACTTGATTCATTTAGAAAACTTTAAAGTAACTTTGTATGTTTTAATGAGAAGATGTACTTTGGTCTTGAGGGAATACAAGATTTGAATAGATCACCTATATCAAGTCCAGTCTTCTCATACTGAATGGAGACACTCCATCTATTTTCTTTAAACAAGTTATTAAGCTACAATTTCAAAAGTTAAAAGTTTTCCACCATATACCTTTCTCTTCCCAAACCACCAACTGCTTTAAGGCTTTTCCCAAAGCAACTGTGCTAATAGTTAAAATTAACCTCCTAATAATCTGTTTAAAGTAACTCATGCAAATTATTCCAGTTTGGTTTGGTGACAATGTTGTTCTTATACCCATGAACAATAACCGTTTAGGTATTTAGTACCTTGATATATTTACAGAGAATATAATGATCTCTCCTTTACACTTCATTTTGCTAGGTTTATCTAACCCACCCAGTTTTCTCTCCTGAGATTCAACCCCATCTTTTCTGCACAGTTCTCACTTGAATGCCTATTTCCTGAACACAGGTGACCAAGATCTCAAGACGATGCCTTTCTTTTGCATCTACACCTGACTTCTTTAAACTGTAGACAGTACATTTTCCTGCAGTATCCTACTTGCAGCATTTTGGCAGATGAATACGAACCTAATTAACTACACCAAGGTCCTGTCCATCCCATTAATTCCCAATTCATGTGCTTAACCTAAACAACCTTTTCCCCCCTTATTCATTACCAAATATGTTTCCTCCTCTTCTCTGTACCACTTGTGAGTCAAGATAAAGGCAGGGAGATCACTTACCAATTACTGTCACAGGCAAGCCAGAGACTCAATTTGGGGAAAATTATTTTCATTTATTGCCAATAAAAATAGGATTGCATAATGAGAAAGGCAAAACTAAAACCATCTTACCACCCCTTCTTCCTAGGCTGCAACTTCACTTCTTCATTCCTGACTCTTCTGCCTCCTCCCCCACCCCAAATAGCACATGAAGGATGGGGAACAGGGGCTGTCCTCACTTCATAACAGTTCTTCTCTGCCACTCCTTCCTCCTGACATTTTTCCCCAGCTCCAGTGTTGGGTCCTTCCCATGGTCTACATTCTTCATCAACTGCTCCAGTGTGGGTCCCTCCCACAGCTGCAGCTCTTCATGAACTGCTCTAGTGTGTGTCTTTCCTTCAGGAAGAGACTGCTCCACAGACCCACAGTTCCTGCCAGAAAACCTGCTGCTGTGTGGGCTCCTCTCTACAGGCTGCAATTCCTGCCAGGAACCTATTCCAGCATGAGCCCTCCATGGGTCAGTTCAGGGCATCTCCACCTGCTCCAGTGTGGGGTCCTCCATGGGCTGCAGTGCAGGTATCTGTTTCAACGTGGTCCTCCATGGGCTGCAGGTTCTACCTACTTCACCATGGTCCTTTCCATGGGCTGCAGGGGAATCTCTGCTCTGTTGCCAGGAGCATGTCCTCTCCCCTCTTTCTTCTCTGACCTTGCTGTCTGCAGGGCTGTTTCCCACTAAGCAGCCCCCAACCCCACCCCTGCCCCACCACTGCTGAGCTTTTACGCCTTCTCAAAGATATTACAGAGGCATCATCAGAAACAAAATGAATCAAAAAAAAAATAGGTCCTTAAGCTGAGTGTAACGTAACTCAAGTAACTCTGTATTATTATTTAAGTCTAGTTTACTCAACTCTAAAATAGTAATTTAGAACAGAATTCCGTATTAGCAACATGTTATATGCTTCCAGGGATACAAACCAGCAGTTTTGATAGGTCAGACAGCTGATGATTAAAAACAGAAATGGAATTTTTCTTGACAGTAACAAAAGCTAACGAGTTATTTTTTTCTTAATTAATCGAGCTCTCCCAGCCTGTTAGAATTATTTAAGATGTCCACAGATGAAAAAAACTGCACACTATTCTTTTATAACAAGATCATGTTTTCATAGTTTTCCTTGGAACCACTGTAAATCTCCTTATGAATGTTGGAATTCTGTGCACCAACTCCAAGACATGTCTTCTGCCTTGTAATAATCCTGAAGTTCCACTGTTAAAAGTCTAGCTAGAGAATAATCCTTGTGTGTCACCAAAAAAGCAAACCTTGAGGAACACAAGCTCTGCATAACACAAAATTTTTCAAAGAAATATAAACCATGTTCAAAATAACACATTAAGTATGCCAGGAACTAAGGAAAACTGACATCAGATAGCACATATATACCAGGATATATCAAATACCAGGCATCCAAGAGTCTCAGGTCACCACCACAGGAAACATACCAAGACCAGTGTTAGCTTTTGACTACAGACAGACAACCATACTCTCAGAAAGATCAGAAGCACAGATGGCAGTTTAAGCAGAACAAGCTTTCTCTTAGCTGCACTCAGTTTGGGATCATGATTATCTCCCCTCTCCATTTAATCTTGCTCGGGGTCAGCTGAAGAAAGGTTTGTTGACAACTTAAAACACTAGCTAGCCCATGAAAAAAGATCGTGCAAAGAGCATTTTAATACCGAGCATTACTTGAAACAATTTAGTACAAAGCTGTTAAACTTATTTCAATTTTTTAAGAATAAAATGGTGAATTTGACTAAAATTACTATGTTTTTTCATTTCTTAAGCCATAAAAATCTTTGTTTCCCCAAACAATTTTTCCCAAGGTCATGCTGAACTAAACAAATTACAGACATCTGTAGTACTGAACAGATTCCATGTTTACCTCTTTAAAATGTGAATTAATTGTCTAGTAAATCTAAATATGAAATAGCTTTAAAGTCAACTTACTTTCCAGTATTTTCTACATTAATGTCCCAATAAATTTTCAGCTATTTGTCACAATTCTAAACAAAACAACCCCTTCCTTTTTACACAGCACTACTGCTTCTTAATAAGTAGATTAGAATATTTAAGGTGTTTATCATGTTCCTTCATCTTTTTATTTTCATAAAAACTTGAATTATATTAGAGATTCATATTTCTAATATAATTTTTAACCCTACTACTTAAGAATGAATATTCCAGAACAACCTAAGGAAAAATAAATCACTTCCTCAAAAAAGCCTTTTGTCTTGTATAAAGAGGTTTCCTAGTACAGACAGAATGATGAGCCGCTTTTGCCCACAACAGTTTTTTCTCTGTCCGTAAGAGAACAGAACTTCAGCATATAATCCCAAAAAAGGAAATATACACACAGCAGATGATTAGAGGAAAAGCCTTCTACCAGTTCAGTAAACTATCCATAAGCAGAATGTAAAAATTAACAATTTATATGTGAATCTACTTGGGCAAAAATGGGTGTAAGTGAAGGATTAGAAAGCCTTAAGGATTCAATGATGGAAGAAGCCTTGAGTTTGGTTAAGAGCATGACTAAGGTCAGATGCCACGACATAGAACTCGACACCTTTGCAACCCTTGCACTATCAAAGCAATCAGGGAAAAAAACTGGTACTGAATAACAGAGTTGATGAGAACCGTTTAAGCAAACTCAAGGTAAGTCCTACCTATACATCATATAATAATTTTGAGATAATGGAAGAAATCTTGCCATCTTCAGGTTACTATCAGTTATAGGTGGCTATTTCAGTTTAATTAGTTTGGCTTCTCAGCAAGATTGTTTCTGAGGTTTGCAAGATATTTGTTTTGAAAAGTAAAAAACCTAGTAAAACTGGTGTGCCTTTTAATATCTAAATTGATCATTACAATTTATTATTCTCTCAAGCAACTTTAAGAGAATACAATAATCTATAGGTCAAATACTATGTTCAAGAGAACTATGGGAGAAATACCAATTAGCACACTTATATTCTACACACATTATTTTTTGTTATGTTATAAAATACATAAAACAAGCAATCTAAAAGAAGAAAATGCTGTTGTAGCTAAGAGGCATATATTTCACAATTGATTCTCACACATTTCTGGATAAGCCAGCCATATAATTTCTTGAGGTTTCTTCAAAGAAATAGACACTCTTGCTAATTATGCATAATGCTGCATGCTGACAGTACTGGTTTGGTGGTTATAATGAGAAAAATGGACACCTTATAAGATGCAGTGATTTAAGTATGTTGCTAAGAGTCTAAAAACTTGGATTCTGATTCTGCCAACCATGTATTTTGTCAACTAAGGCAAATTTTTTTACTTTGCATCTTAGTTTCACTACCTGTAAAGTGAAAAATGGTCTTTAGAGAGTAGAAAAGATTTATAACAAATCTAATGCAATTCAGACCTCAAATTAGAAATAGACTTGCATCTTATACTAGAAGGTCTACCTCCTCTACTGTGTACAAAACGCAGCCATTTCAAATGGGTTTACTGAAGTTACAGACACTGTATCTATAAAAACTAACCAAAAAATAGTAAGGTAAGGTGGGTATCTCAACCTAATGCTCCTTCATCTCTTATGCAGTTGCTCCAGAAATAAAATCAATTTTACAGATGTGTCAAAACACAGAAGCAAGTTTTAATATTTGAAAGATTCAGGCATGTTACTGACAGACATTCTTGCAAATTGGAAAAAAATTAGTTTCAAAACTTTACATTTTAGATAAACATAAATTCAATTGGCAGGACAAAGTCACTGAGGCATCAAATACCAAAGATCCTCTGCATGCAACGGAAATAACAGCTCTTAAATAGGTTACAGGAAATCTTCAAGAGCATGAGGTAAATAAACTAAAACTTCTCAAGACAGCTCAAATATATACATGCAGGAACTGTAAAGGATATATATAACACCTTATTGTGCACTATCAGGCTCCTTTAACACATATTCTGATTAGCTCAGTACTTTCTGCTTTTTTACATGTCCTGAATTTTCTTTCAAAATGTAAACTCTGATACAAAAGAATAATGCCTTAATCATTAAACAATGCAAAGCCCAATACATAGGAACACACTGCAATTACAAACAGAAAAAAGAGATACTGTACACTATTATAACAATGTTTTCTTCCCTACTTGTTTATCACAGCAGATGGGAGTACTACTCATGAAAATAAGCTTCAACCTGAATTAACACACTTTTCAAATGCTTCTGACTAGTGGCATGCTTAGCTTTGTAAGTGGTGAAAAAATATTCTTAAAACATCAGTAAAGTAGTATTTCAAGTTTTCCCCCTCTCACTTGAAAACACGCATATGATACAGGCCAAGAAACTTGCATAGTATGAACAAAACCATAAGCAAGTTAAAGCAATAAATTCCAAACCTATTCTAAGCAAACAAACAGTATATGCCACTCCGCCTCATGTACTAGCAGTATGTTACATGTCTTACAAATTACACTATCAGATAATAAACTGTAAAGAAATGAAACGGAACATTGTGAAGGTTCGGTAACAGAAAGAACATTATTTAAATCCATGAAAAAGAACTTGACAGAACACTTCAAAGCAATTTTGTGCTGGATTTTCCTTCTCTGCTTTTGATAAAGACAGACAAATCATTTCATACTTAACTAAAAACTCAGGTGTCTTTGACAGCTATTCCATCAAAACCAAAGCCATCTAGTCTACAGATAGGTCTTATAACAGTAATGGAAAATATATATGTCTATATATGTATACACACACACTTAAATAAACTCTTTATTTACGTATATACTTATAAAATATACAAAAATAAAAAGCTTAACTTCTTTATATACACATAAAGATGTGAAAAAATACTTTAATTTTCTTTGACTACTACAAGAAAATTCATTTTCCCAATTAATGTTGGTAAGAACCTTAGCAGCTTGTCTTCCCTTTCTAAAAGCTGTCCAAAAAAATGAAGTTGGAGATGCAGCATTTCAGAAGTCTTTCTCATGAGAGCTTCTCAGGTAAGCTTAGTAATCCAGAATTTCCCCACGTAGGAACAAAACCTAGGTACCATTTTACCTAGTGTTTTGCCTGTGCACAGTATTAACAAGAACATGATTAAATACACATTTGAAAGAAAAACAACTGAAGATTTCCTTTTTAGAATTCAATATATGCTAAAAGAAAAACTAATAAAGGTAAGTGGACTAAAATGCTGGCTCATTTACCTTCAAATAAACTGAGGTCTCTTCGTAGCCTTGGTCCATAAAGCCCTTCTAAGATACTTTCAAAACCTGGAGACAAAAGAAACATTTAAAACAGTAAATCAAAAGTGTGGTTAATGAAAGCAAATTAAAGAACACTGGCAACAAGTATTCTCAAATTCTGAGAGCAATTCCAAAAATTGTTACATTTATGACACAAGTAATTACTCCTTCCACTGTAGTACTATTCAACAGAATTAGAAGACAAAAATAAGGCAACTGCCATCTGCACACAATCAGCCTATTAAGCCATGCCCCAACAACCTCATTAGGCTTAAAATAACCACCACAGAATCTTAAAGGTGGGAGGATTAGCCTCATAGCACAAGTGTAGTCTCTCTTACACTGAGAATTAGAATCATGTATGAATGGGAGGGGGCACTGAAAAAAAAAAAAAAAAAAAAAAAAAAAAAAAAGGGAGAAAGCCTTCAAAATCAGAAATTTCTCATGTATGATCACCTGAAATTACATAATCTGATAGTTTAATATTTCCAGAAATATAAAAGAGAAGCTTATTTTGCTTCTGATATCATAATGTTCTCTCTAGTCCTCTGTATCTGTACAAAAACATTTTAAAATTGAGGATTAGATAAATCCAATTATTTTCCAGATTTACCAGCTAGTCTGTTTAGGTATTTGGTAAAATCACATACTGTGTGAAGAGACACAGAGCAAACCAGATGATTTAAAAAAGCAAACAAAAAAAAAACTCAATGGAAAAAAAAAAAGATGATGCATGACAACTATGAAATATGGTAAGAATTTACATCATTATCAATAACAGAATTTTTGATCAATATAGAAACAGTTTCCAAGTGTCCCTTCTTTTCTTCTTCCAAATAATAATCTTATTTTCAACTAAGAGGATAATTCAAAGCAGCACTTGAGGGTTCTAATTTATCATACTCAAGACCTGTCTATATTAAAGATGTAGCTATTTTACAATACTTTGCAAGACTGTTTCATCATCACACCATATAAAAGATACCAATATCTTCAGGAAACGACTAACTACCATCAACATTTAGAATCATAAAATTTGCTCATCAGCTGTGATGCCCTTTAAGACAACAAAACATACTACTCTCCCATCAAAAATAACATTCATTTTTTGGTTTAGAGTGTATGGTACACTAGTATAAGGAACAATAAATATGTACCATATCTTAATTAGGATGTTAAATAATACATGAAAAATCCTAACACAGTCAAGACAAGCTATCTTATCACACAGGAGCTGTTCAGCTTCATGGGTCACATTTTGTTAAAGTTAACCTTTCAATTTTGTATTATTTTACATTTTTAATCTATGATTTATATTATTAAATCCAATTTATTATCATTATACTTGCTATAAATCTACTTCAGCTATAAATTAACTATTTCTACTAATTTTCTACTTTTCTTTGTAATAAATATAGTACTATGTGAGAACACAAATTGTGACAAAACCACTGTCCTCTCACAAATATATATATATACAGTTTTTAAACACAATCTACAAAAATTATAAAGCAAAAATCCAAGGTCCAAGCATACACTGAAAATTACCTTAAAGCATTATCCACCGACTTTTAGATTCAATGTAATATAAATTCACATCATATTAGCATTGCACAAATTCCCAGTTCTTCTGGCTTCAAAGGGTTATGGACAAAAAAAGCAAGAGAGATGAAGAAGTCTGAAGTTAAGATAGCAATTCCCCAAACACAACAGACTAGAAATATAAATCACACTGTGTATTATAATGATCATTAATGTTATAAACTGCAAGCCACTTTAGCTCAGCAGATAGCCAATACTTAGGTTCTTGAAATGATTGTCACTAAGTAAAAACACAAATGGAGTGAAATGTCTCTTGGAGATGCTTGTACTTGTTCCAAAAGAACAAACACTAACTCCCATTTCTGAACTCTTTGTAAATCAAACAACAGGTAAACTCGTTTACCATTCCAGTCAGCTCCCAAAACCTCCTTGGTTTTTAGACACCTACTTTCCCCTTCCCTCCTCCCTGGGTGTAAGGGGTGTTACTTCTTTCTGCCTTTTACTTATACCTGCTTCCCCTACTGCCTGCTCCCACCTATGCAAAAACATGAGCACAGAAAATCCAGCTCTGTGAAACAGCAGTTTGTTAAGGAAGAATGAAATTTCCAAACAGACTTCCATGCAGCTTGTATTAAAGATGGCAATTAGCACCCTGTGGGTTGTGGTGTTTTGTTGTTTTTTTTCCTAAGCAAAGTACACACCAACCCACTTCTCTGTTATTTCACCAAACCTAGTTCCATCCCACCTATCCAAAGCAATGTCCTCCTTACAAGTCCTCTCAGAACTTCCCAATCAATCCATAATTTAGTCTTACTCAGTGTGGACATTTGCTTCGTCACCTTTGGATACTTGATCTTTCCTCTTAAAAGAAAGTTTACTTGTACAACCTAGCAACAGAGAGAATTTTTTTCCTGGAAAGATGTGTTTTACTTCCACTTTGTTTTCTACAATGTTGTTCTGCTGCTTTTCAGGATTGATACAGTTTTAATTTAGCCTAAACAGGAAGATACTAGTAGTTTCTAGTACAGCTACTGATATAGATGTGCTGGCACTGTTTCGTAAAATGTAACCATGTGAACAGCAGGCAGTTCAATAAACCTTTTGTTTTACTTCATAAGCCAATATGCATAAGCAAACAGTGGTAGTAGTTTTGAAACTTTTCAGAACCTTAAGAGCCTACAGATAACAGTCAGAAATATACTTTGTTTATACCTCTCGTGATTCACCAATGGAAAAAAAAAAAAAAAATCTGCTCTTAATTTTACAGAATTATTTGTGTCTCTTGGTGGCTGATTGCTTCCTTGATTCCAGACTGCCTTTCAAAATGATTGTTACTTGAGCCCTGACATTTTCTAGCTCCAAACTGAAAAGAAACATGGTTGGCTTTATTAACTTGCAATGCTCCAATCTGTCAAACCAGGACCAGGAAGGCTGGGAGTTGTGACCTACAGCAACAGAAAGGGTGTCTTTTTCTATTGGTAGCTATTCAAGTGCTAAAAAGGCACAAAGCCCAGGAAAGAGGTGAGGAAAAACAAGCTCCTTAAGTCAGGTTTGGCATCTAAGCCTGATGATGGGTCACCGTAGTGTCACTAAAAAGCAGTAAGGGTTAACAGTAATTGCAGACTCCCAGGGAGATGAAGGCTTCTGCACAGCAGCCAGACTAGTCGCCTTAAAAGTTCTGATGCTTGCCCATGGTCCAAATCTGGAACGTTGCAGAGAAACTCTTACAGCTCATCTGGCCAGCACAATATTATCATGTGTTGTCCATCTACATGGCCATCATGATACTGCCAAAGGAGACCTTCAGCAGATCATAGCTAATTACAGAAGTCCAGGGACAATGGTGAGTGACATCAGAGCCCAGGTGTTGGTCCAGGGGAAAGGCTTTGAGAGGAGCAAACACAACATCTGACTACATGACTGCAAGCAGAACTTCAGCTCTTAAGATCCTCTGGGAACAAAGGTTGCTTGAGAGACAGGATCCATTTGATAACACAAACCATCATTGCCAACAGGCTTGCCTCATAAGGAGGACTTCAAACTATGTTTGACAGAGAAGTGGAGACTGAAACCCAGAAAAGTGGAGAACAGCAAGAGGGCAAATGCACAGGACAACACAAGAGTGAGGATCTTACAGTCCCCCTGAAAAAATGGCATAAGCAGGGGCACATCTTAAGTACTGTACATGAATGCGCCAGAAGCAAGTACAAGAGATTAGAGCACATAATCTTACTAGCAGTACACAGTATGGTGAGATAGTTCACACAAGTGGAATAATGCAGTAGATGGATACTGGCTTTTAGGAAAGGAGAATTGAGAAAGTCAAGGACAGTACTTATGCAAAGAACTTCAACAAATGAAGCTTTAGTGTGGAATAGGCTACAGGACAGTTGAAAATCCATGGCTCAGGAATCAACCAGGGGAACATCATGGTGAACATCTATTACAGACTGCCCAATCAAGGGTAAGTAGACGAAGCCTTCAAAAACTAACTAGAGAAAATGCTGTACAATCATATGCCTTAGCTCTCATGAAAAATACCAATCATCCTGACATCTGCTGGAAACACAACATGGTAGCACACAAGCAACCTGTGAGATTTCTAGGGTGCTTGGAGGACAAACCTGATTGAGGTGGTAGACAAGCTCAATAGGGGAGGCAGCCTGTTAGACTGGCTATTCATTTTTAAAGAAGAACTGATCAGTGATGTGACAGTTAGCAGTGGTCTTAGAC